CTTCCCCTCCTTCCCTTCGCTTTAACACCCCTCCTCGAATTCCCCTCAAGGGTTCTTAAATCTAAAAAAAGCGATCACTCTCTTGCACCTGGGATCTTCACTCGGGAATTATATGGTTTTTCTATCCCTCATGCTTTGAGGCTTGCTTCTACTTGTTGTTTTGTCCACCCAAGCGTACGTTTCGGATTTCCTTTACATCACAAACAACCCCCTCCTCCAACGCACTATATACCCAACCATCTTCCTTTCCCCCCCAATAGACCTCACTTTCATACCGCGTTGAGTGACTACATTTTGTCGCTCTACTTACCCCAATTTCATCAGCCATCTTATCCTAAGGATCATCGTGGCCGTGTCGTCGGAGTATCGGGGAACCCAAAAACTTTTACCGATTCCAAAACATAAACAACACCTGAAAATTTATTGGACGTGACGTTGACCGATGGCTTAGAAAGGTAGAGCGATGATTAGCTTTAGGGTGGAACATCATTCAGATTCTTCGAGACTTCGTCAAGACCACCCTCACCGCGGAAACGATACCGGATCGTTCGACGGCAATGCCGATTGCCAGTGAGAGCAGTAGTACCACCACCACCATGACCACTTTCTCCGCCCCGGTCCCTGCTACCAAATCGCTGCCCACAAATCAGTCAGCGTTAGCGGCCTCCTTCACCAATTTCCTCACCGTCTCCGTCCATCAAATCCTATTTCTGCGCTCCGTTTATCCGCGCGCAACCTTCCTCCCCGTGCGGGCATACAATTATCCCGTCCGACAATCCCGTCACCCAAAAGTCTGTGACTATATCAACGATGCTTCAATCGCAGTTGGAACGGAGATTCTCAAAGGCACAATCACCGCAGTCAGTATCATCATTTCATCTCTTCGCACAAATCAGCCCCTCGAACGATATGCCTTTGATCTGTCGGGCTTCCCACGTGCGCCTGCAGGAGAGGTGAATACTACATTTGAAGACAGAAATGAAGATTCATCTAATCCAGCCCCTGTCTCAGACCGGGGGCCCGCACCAACCTCGGTCGACCTCGAGGCACAATTCCGGGCATGTCTAGCGAGACTCGCCTCAGCCTGTGCCCGGTTGACCCCACTTCCCCGCGATGACGAGTTCAGTTTCACTGTCTGCATTGAAGTGCGCGAAGACGCTTTACCACCGGCGGGGACAACCAAGGAAGAACAAACTTGGATTGTGGCGGAACCGGGCAAAGTGCACCTACGATCGTGCACTGCACCATTTTCCGTCTCTAAACTGCGGAACGGCGAGCCCCAGGAAGCGCCCCCCAAGGTCTCGAATGGCCGTGCCAAAACAGTACCTGTACGACGTGTTGAAGCCGGCGAGCTTCGGTTGGAGTTGTGGGTAGAAGAGGCACGACAGAAATTTAACGAACCGGTGGACTCAGAGCAGCCACCATGACCTCAAAATTCCCCGATCCTATCTCAAGCCTTGGGGGAGGGAATTCATGTTTTTTGTTTTCATTTTATTTTTCTCTTCCCTATCTCTTTTTTTTTTCCCCTGTCCACACCCAAATTCTGTCTCATTCTTGATTTAGCGTGACCAATGATCGAACATACATGATGGACGAAGGAAATTCTGGAATTGTCGTCCGCAAGTGGCGCAAATACATAAAACGGGGAGCGGACGATTTTTGGGACTCACATGGCATTTATTTACATAGATCAGGTTCATATCTTTCCTTTTTTTTTGGTACTTCATTCCCAAGTGCTTATTCTTCTCCCCATGCTCTTCCCATTCTCACTTTCATGACGCTCCTTCTCCATCCCTCTTTTCTTCTTTTTCCCACTGGCTTTTTTATAGCTTTCCCTTTACTTCATTTTGCATTTTGCTTGATCCCTTGGGTTCTCTCTCCTCGCTGATCTTTTTTTCTGCGGTCCGGCCTTTTGTTTTTCATACCATCTCCCATTTTTCCGTTGTATTTCATTCGTCTCCTTTGTTGAAATCAACTACATGATTCTCTTTTCTAGCCAATTCAACTATACTAGCAACTAGTTCCCAATGTCGTCTTGTTAGCTTCTCGATTTTGCGTTTTTCTGTCTCTGCTCTTATGCTGATGACCCCAGTGAAAAATGATTCCGTTCGAAACAATGCCCCTAATGCCATAATGTCTGTTGTGTCACAAAGTTTTACCCGATTTTGGTTTGCTCTGTTTGTCATTTGATTTACATTTCACCTGCTTTATTTATGTTTGCTGTCCTTATGCTTAATGCCCTGGGTCTGACTGATGAAAATAGGCCGCTAGGCTTTCGGGGGAGCGACTATGTAAGTGTGCTAGCCAGACATCCAGTTTAGGTTAATGGATGCTGTTGAAAGTGAAGTATAGAGAGCTATGCTCTTGTGCTTTGTCTATCCCCAAGAAACCATTATCTACTTGTGTGATGAAAGCTAAGAGAGAGGGGGCTACAGTCTAAAGGTGAGACTGAGCAAACATTCTAACAAGAGGAATGAGGACTGCAACTACCTAGGTATCTGTATCATCTGATACGAGAGATGCTACTCGGGCTTGTGAGAGTAGATTAAATCGATAATAATACCACGAGAAACTAGTGGGGTTTACTGAAAAAGGAAATGAGTACAAAAATATAAATTCAATCAGCCCTACACTAGTTTCCATATACTACTCGCCATTCAACAGGGCTTTGGACTGCCTAATTCCCATACCATGTCAAGTTGTGATACACGAACAACCAGCCGTATTAATGTTTAATGGGTAGCTGTGGGTCGAGGGATGGTTGGGAGGTAATCCCTATATTGTTGAATGAATTCAAGATCAAGTCCTTCTATGAAGTCCAAATTCGAATGTTGGTAGAACTAAGAAGACTGTTGGGGAAGTGGGAGTACATAGGTCTACTGGTAGGTATGTAGTTCAATGATCTACTAATGTAAATTTATCGTGTATGGAATGGTCGCGTGAGGTCCACATTCCACACAGTGATAAAAAGCTTCATAAAATATATATATAGAACGTCAGACCTGCAATATAAATGAAGATCAACACCACAGGTTACGCAGGTTAATAAATAAATGTAATGACATAATCGCCAAGGCTCACATGACCCGTTCAAACCCTCCGCGAAAGGCAAAAGACCGGCTCTTACGTCAAGGGCCTATAAGGACTAAGGCAATGCAACCTCCATCGCTTGCCATCGCTTTGCTTCGGGCCAGTGACAAAGAGAAACACGGTGTGCCTCTTTTTTTTTTTTTTACTTTGTACGTAGAGGGCAGGAAGATCCGGCCCGGATCATGTTGTGGAACGGTGAGGGGGAGGATTGGATGGATTGGGTGTGGTTGGTCCAATTGTAGTGATTTAGATCGGGAGAACATACTACCTAGGTATGTTCGTGTGACCAGTTGTCACGATCTCGCCCAGATGGGAATAGAAAGTTAGAAATGACCAGTATATTTTGGCATCGGGGCCCCGTCGGTCCACGGGTATCTCCCAACCTTGGAAGCTTCTGGGTTTTGGTTCTGTTCTTGTCTTCGGAACATCTTTAACTTTGGACTACCCCGGATTCCTGGATTTCTCTTTATTACATATTCGCACCTGCCCTTGGTTTCCCCCTTTTCCACCACATTCCCAACTTCGATAACTCATATACTTCAACTCTGCTCAACTTGACATGATTGCCGCAGAGATCCCCACTCTCCCCGCAGGGGAATCCCCAGATCTGATTCTGGTCCCAGCCACAGCCTCAGAGCGCATTGCCTCAATCAAGCTGAACAGCGTCGCTTGGAAAGGACCCCTAGATGTGGAAACATACATAGAACGCGAGAACCATCTCCTCCAACAACGGCTGACCCGCGATGGCCTAACCTGCTGGATCCTAGTGGATCGCAACGAGCCCCAGGACAAGCGAACAATTCTCAGCTCATGCGAGTCGTACCGGAAGACAGCGCTGCTTGCGCACGATGGGCAGGTGGAGAAGGTTTCCACGCACGGCGTGGGAAGTGTCTACTGCCGGCCTAGTTTCCGCGGGAAAGGGTACGCAAAGCGGATGCTGGAAGAGCTGAGCACTAAACTCGAGACGTGGGGGATGGAGAAAGAGCCACGGCGGAAGTCGCTATTTACGGTTCTTTTCTCGGATATCGGGAAGAAGTTCTACGCTCAATTTGGGTGGCGGCCGTTCTCGTCTTCCCATATGTCTTTACCGGCTACTACGGGTGGGCTGGAGAAGGCTGTTACGAGGGATCTATTTGCTGAGGATGTTCAGAAGTCTTTGTGCAGTGAAACTGTGCTTGCCAAGCTGCACGAGCAGATGCGCCTGGCGTCGCAGAAGGCGAGTGGTGCTAAGATTGCCATTTTGCCCAACTTTGATCACTTTGTCTGGCATTGGGCTCGAGAGGAATTTTATGCCGAGAACTTGTTTCCCGAACGCTCCCCGCCTGTAGTCAAGGGCGCTGGTGATGACCAGGCTCGCGTGTACTGCGCTTGGAACCGGAATTTCGGCGAGGCACCCGAGGATAATGTCCTCTACATTCTTCGGTGGGTTTATGATGACCCCACGTCTCCGGCGGAGGAACAGGCCACTGTCCAGGCTATGGCTGCTATCCTCCGGCGAGCACAACAAGAGGCGCACGAATGGAACATGAGCAAGGTTGAATTCTGGAACCCTACTTCCCTTTTGCAGAAGGCTGTGGCTTTGGTGGACCCGAAGGCTGAGCTCGTGCATCGCGAAAAAGAGAGCATCGCCAGTTTACGGTGGACTGGCGAGGAGCAAGGATTGGGCAAGGATGTGGAGTGGTGGTTGAATGAGAAGTACACTTGGTGTTGATCATTCATTCGTTAGAGCATCGTTTCGAGGTCTGTTTCTTTGTTTGCTCGTGATTCTTCCCGCTTTTTTTCTTCCGGAAGTGCGGAATCGAGGCGATTTTGGGCGGCAGATATGATCGTGATGCTTTCTAGATACGCGCGCATCATAAATTAGATGCCATGGCATTTTACGCAGCAAGTGCGTTAGTCTTTTTTTTCAATCAACGGCGGCCTTTGAGCAGTTCATGCCAATTTCTGGTATTCTTAGCCTTCGCGGCTGTGGCTGGTGCAGAGGCAGTTTTGTTGGTTGGCAGCCGTTGGGAGGGTTCAACAAAGCAGATAGTCGTAGGGTCAGGACTGTTGTAGCAGCCATTCTATAGTCCAAATCAGCTATTGCGCCGCAGCTCATGCGGGGAAAGGTCAACTTACCGGCAATTTTGACAGCGCTGCGTCTCCTCTCCATGTCTCAGGCAGACAGTCCTTCCATGCGCGAAGGAATTCACTTCTTCCAATAGCAGACGATGTAGTCGGAGCAGTGGCGGCCAGGTATGTCTCGCCAACCCATTGCGTACACTCAACCTTATCAAAGCTCGCCCCTAGAGAACAGCACACAATAGTTAGCAAGTCCGATACCTGCACATCCCACAGTCCATTTTCGACTCACATTTAATATCATCCGCCAAAGGTGGTCGCTCATCCGCAATGCAGATGCGCCTCACAACAGCCTCCAGCAACGCACGTGGAAACGGTGGCTCCATCTCCTCGTCATCATCCAGAACAGACTTCCACAAGTCCCCAACGAGAAACTGCTTCTCAAGATCAATACCTTGCAAAACAGCACCCTCGACTAACCGCTTCCAAACAGCCAATCGAGACCGCGCTGAGGGCCGCCAACACGCCACCTCCTCGGCTCCATCCACAAACGCACAAAGCTCCATCCAGCCCTGCTCGCACTGCGCCGTTGACACAGGGATATCCTGACACAAATTCTCCCTGGCCGTGCGCATCTCCTTGGATCCCAGCGGGCCCGTGGAGTCAGCAGAACCGCCCATCGCTATGTCCCCGTCATCATCGCTGCGCCGGTCATACAGCCGTAGACTCTTCTCTAGGAACGGAACGGCTGAGAACCCTCCCGGCGGGATGTGCAGTTCCAGCGTCGAGGAGCACTTTGCAATGGCCGTTACGGCTTCATCTGGGAGGTTCAATGCGCCGCTTTCGCCGGCTTCTTCTTCAACGACTTTGATGTCTGCTTGGGAGATCTCGCCGCGGCTTGGGCGGAGGATGTGTAGGGAGTTTGAAGATTGCACTTGGCGGATGCGGTAGGTTTGTGTTGGTGTGCATAGGTTGACGTAGTCATGGGCGGTGGGGTCGACTACTGCTTGTGCGAGGGCTGCAGAGGGCGACTTGAGTTCGAGTCTGGTGGGTGTCGCAGGTTAGTCGAGGGCTGCCAAGTGGGGATGGGAGGGGTTTATTTTGGACATAGCAGCGCACGGGTTGCTTCTGGTCTGCCTGGACTCTTGTTCATTGCGTCAACTTACACAGGTGCATCTTTCGATGTCAGTAGTTCTTCCAGCTCTGGGGTAAGTTCCAGTAACCGGAACCCTTCCTGGGGGCGGGTGTGTGTGAAAAGAATACTGCGCGAGTCTTGAGTAGACATTGCAGGTTACAATGTGTATAGAGTATGCAAGTCGAAGCAAAGTGAGAATCGGGGAAATGAAGCATCGACTTCGGACGCGTTGACGCGAAGTGGAGACACACGGACCACCGCCTAAGAGGTGTTCGGCTTCATCCGAATGTGTAAATATTAGCCCTGGAGGATTGGAGGGTCTTTATATTACAATTACATTATTGGATCAATTTAAAAGTCACATATTACATCGTCTACATAGAAAGTCATTTTGCACATCTTATACCTTTTTCACTGCACATATTCTACTTTTTGTACTTCCAGCTGTAACACCAATAATGGGATGAAACATCCAAAAAAGACATAAAAAAGACATCTAAGGAGATATCTAAAAACATATCGTAGAATAATCTTAAATATAACGACCGTTATATCGTCTTGGGTCAAATAGGTCAGATTAGAACTACATCGTCAAGGACTAAGGCCGCATAAGCGGCTGACTATTCTTGTAGAGAATACATTGAAATCAAATCTTCAATGTTTTGCTATTGAATGGCCGAATTATTGCTCTTCATGACACGCCAACCATTATGTTTCGTTGTGACGCCGTGAAAAAGAGAAATGTCCCCCAAAGATATAAGAAAACATATGCAAGAACGGAACAAGAATGAAAAGCAAAGCTCCTACACTCGCAGAGCTTGGGCATAGATAGTCTTTTCAGACAGGGAGATGAGACATTCGAGTCGCCTGTGAGAATGCAATGCGTAATCCAGCCGGCTGGATCAAAGAAGCGGCCGCTTATAGGAAAGAAGCGGTGAGGGAAATCCAGTCGAGAATCATGGTTTGGCCTTCTCGACTACTTCGACTTTCTCGTCTTGGTCGACTGTCTCGGCTTGGGCCTTCAAGTGACCCTGAGTAGAATCCATGGCGTCTTTCATGGGCTGGCCAGCCGGGCCTTCAGCAGAGCCTTGTACTTCTTCCCCGTCCATGGTTTTATCGGTACCTAGGGGCTTGGACTGGGTGCTGTCCTTTCGCTCGGCTCGCTCTTGTTCTTCTTTTTCGCGAGCCAGTCGCTCCACCTCCATTTCTTCCATACGCCGAAGGTCATCCACACTGGGCTCATATAGATGCCAAATAGTGTAGTGTGGCAGTCCAATCACGGAGAACTTCATGCGTTTAGCCATCTAGGAAACATTAGCAATTGTAGCTACCGCCTCGTTGGTTACTGTCTTACCTTGCCAAACCCTTCCGTCTCGGCATGCTTCTCGAAACTGAAGGCTGGGAAGTGCACACCAGCACGGAATACCCGGGCCTTGGCCAGGATACTGACACCTCCGACCCCGTCTAGCTCCATCTCCATGTCTGGGTCGCCGTAGGGATCGCGGAGGTAAGCAAGGTGAGGTCTCCATGTAGCGTACTCGGCGTATCCTTCCACGATGACGGCATCCTCGTCCAAGGTATCCGCGAGCGCCAATGCAGTCTCAGATTCTTGCCAGGAGTTCAGATCGTAAGGCTGCTCTCCGCCAAGCCAATCTGGAAGTGGGCGCCAAACATCTACAGACGACGCCAGTTAGTATAAATCCTGACACTCATGCAATAGTCACCACTCACTCGGGACTGTAACATCCTTGTTGTGCCGCATTAGATCCTCAATGATTGTGAACGGAGCAGTCTCCACGTCTGCATCTCTCCAGTAGACCCAGCTGTGGGTTGGGCGAAGCGTTGCGCTCAGCAACCAATTCCTCGCCTGCGCCATCAGCTTGCGTCGGTTGGCCTGCGCCTCGAATCCGTGTCGACTTTCCACGTCCTGTTGGACTTTCTGCCCGAAATCCTTCTGGATCACGGAGATCTCCCCAAAAGGCATTTTTGGGTCCGGGTCATTTTGTATATCCTCCAACATGCGCGACAACATGCCCAGCGTGTCATCCCGAGAGTCCGATACCAAAAATGCCAGATCAATTAGGTGGTGCGGGTATGTGAGGTTTCGAAGGTGCGAGAAAAACATCGGGAGGTGCGACGAGGCATCTCGAAGCGGGGTGCACATCAGGACACGCTCTCCACGTTCCCAGCCCTTCTCCGTCCCTTGCACTTCAGATAAATCATAATAACGGACCGTCTGTAGTTGTAGATCTCCGGGGTAAGAGAGAAGGCCGAGCGAGATGGTGGGAAGGATGGCGGCGCGCCAGGATGGGAAGATCAAGAGGAACAGCACTAGCGACACACCGCCAAGGAGGCAGAGGCGCTGGAAGAGCTGCCGGCGTCTCCGAAGGGCAGGTTGCGAGCGAGGCTGGAACCTGGGGGTGGAGGCATACTAGTCAGTCTCGATTTCAAGCTTCATGATCTGGCATGACGACAGGGCTCCGAGCTCGGACAATGAGAAAGGAGCCGCTTGGCTCGGAATGGGTGGTCGGCTTACCTGTTCGGTGAGATTGAAAATGCAGAACCCCTGGGATAGGCAGAGTGGCCCTTTTCGAGGACGTGTCGGTTCATCACTGCGGCTGTCACAAGCCGTCGAGGCGCTTATGTCGGGGGCCAAGAACTGATGTAGCGGCCGGAGACCCCTAGTGACAACCCCGATTTTAGAAAGGCCAGACGTAGAAGGCTTGAATGGAAGAAATGAAAGTTTTATGGAAGGATTGAATAACAAAAAAAAAGACAAAAGCAAAAGAAGCGAAAGAACCTTGGAGACTTGGAGATATGATCCAAGGTCTCACACTGTTGTGGTCTTCACCAAATCCGGCCATCCGCTTGCAATCACCTCATGTACAGTACCTGGTTCTCCCTTGTAGATGAGATTATATGTACCTTATAACATAATTTAGGATTGAAGTACATAACAGATTAAATGGTTTGATTTTGCCAATTGACTTCGCTAATTTTGTATACAAAAGTATTCCCCCAATGCTAAAATGTATAGATAATTTTTTCCCTTCACAGTGAAAGCGTAGGAGGCGAGATCATGCTCAGTTGAGGTCGAAGAGGAGCAGGAGAATCCATCTCCTTTGTTTCCACTTCAATCATTTGCATCATCTGCATTAATAGTTTGTTCACTTTTTCCCCATCACGCAAGCTCGGCAAGACGGATGCGGCTTCGTAGTCGCTGTCGAGGATAAAGTAGCGTTCCTTTTGCCAGGTCTCCACCGCGTCGACGTGGAATGCAACTCTGGCGATCGCCTTGGCTGGAACACTGGCCTTATTCATGGAGCTTCGGGATACCATGCGCAGGAATGGCCGAAGCCCGGACCGAGTCTGGTGTGCGACTCTGACCGACATAGGTGCCCCGGTCCGCAGATTGCTCTGGCCAGTGATACCTCCTGGATCCAGGGTGAAGATGTCAAGCGATATATTACCGGTCTATAATTAGATTTCATTAGTGAGAAATCGGGAGATGACCCTGAAATCGCAACTTACCCAGATCAAGCTCCGCCTCAATGCATATAGTGCGACACTCCCCATTAACTTGCTGCTCCCAAAACGAATATTCTCTTCCTTTGCGCTCAGCGCAGTTCCCGGTTGCCTTCCGTTTCTTCCATGGTCGCGGTCAAAGTAATCCAATCTCCCGGAAGATGTCGCAGAACAGCCGATGTTGATCACCTTCGCTCCGCCTTTTGGCGTACCATCTCCAGCCCGGAAAGCCTCAAGCAGTCCAATGGTCAATAAAAATGGAGATAGACAATTTGTCTGATAGACAGGGTCGTAGCCGTCTGATGTGAGGTCATCAATAACGTAAGATGTAGCGACAGCAGAGTGAATCAGATTGGTCACAGGCGGAATGTCTCTTAAGCGAACACGATCGACGGTCGCTTTGGCGAAAGATACCACGGATTTCAGATCGGTCATGTCAAGAGCGAGGACCTCAATCGATCTGGGGCCGATCAAGCGGATCTTTCCCATCAGTTCGCGGACATCGTGGGTCCTTATATCCCGTGCTGTCAATAATAGATGAACGAAAGGCTGCTTCTTCGCGATCTCGATGGCGATCTCTGAACCCAACAACCCATTTCCACCAGTAATAATGACCGTTTCTGTAAGTGGTGTACCCATGACGCTGGCTTTTTGTTAGGCAAGAATCCCAGTATAAACGTGGGCAAGGTTCCACAGTAGGGGGAAAAAGTGGTCAAAAGAGCACTTGTATAGTACTGGGTATTTGATTCCAATTATAGGGATGACAGAAGACAATGGAATATTGCGTGACAAAGGGAATTAGAACTAAAAAGGGAGTTGTCAAAGCGTAGGCCGAGTGAAAGGTGTTATATACCTAAACAGTGGGATCTAAAAATTCTCCAACCCGCCCCATTCATATGGATCCATGCAGTAGAATGGGCCAATGAATTATATCAGACATTAGCGGTGTCATGTCTCACCTCACGGCTGAGGCGTGTTTTTCCAGAAAACGACGATATTGACGATATTGGATCAATCAGATACGAACACTGGCGACGTGCCTTAGTGTCAAATAACGAATGGCTACCAACCCTATGATCTTCCTACCTGATGCGTGGCACGGCGACTAAATTTTTCTTTACGGAGTACCCTTGCAGTAAATGTCGTAAATTTAGAACGGGAAAAAAACAATGGAGATCGATACTTGATACTGAAGTAGGTTAGTTCGCATCACTGGCGTGGTACTGGTGCCGCAAACCCATCTGCCGATCAATCCTAGATCATGGATATCCCGACTAAAGATCTGGGCAATGTCTCGAATAGAGGTCTAGTACTCCGTAGTCAATATTCGGAACATATTGCCCGCATCTTTAGCCCGGGGGGAGAGGGGGGTGTCAAGTAAAAACACACTCTTTCCCCACTGCCAGCAATGCCTGGGCATCTTTCCAGGGCCCCAACACAGTCAGCCATGGGCAGCCCTGAGATCACCCCACGCTGTTCGTATTACTGCGGGCTGCAAAGTAACCATAAGAATGTATGGAGTATATAATAGGTCATTGCCAGACCTGATAGAAAGCGGCTGCATCAACGTTTTAAAAAAGAAAAGAAAGGAGCCAAAACAATAGGAGTTTCAGAGAAAAATAATAAAAAATAAAAACAAAAAATGGCGCCACCCGACCGGGGCTAATACACATCGAGTCGCCACAATCACTAGGCCATAACACCTGTTGATATTGCTTTACAACAGCTATGCGCCATATTGGTATAAGGAGTTGGACTGGAATTACCTGGTTCTTAGGGTTACATTGAAAATGAGGTCACTGCTAATTAGGACTGAGGTTAACCGAGGTGCTATTTAAAGACTCTTATTAATTTTATCTTTGTTGGTCATGGGTTAAATATATTGGGTATATTGCTAACGATTGTATCACTACTTGATTAGATGAAAAGCCAAATGATACCTAACGAATGACAAGAACTACGCCAATAGCTCAGCTTCTTATGATAATTTACTACTATTGTTCACCTTTTCGGCTGAGCCGACTGGAGCCAACCCTACTGCATCTCAGACAATAAGTAAGATCCGACTTGCTCCTAATTACCCGATCTAGTTGGACTATCTAGTTGGACTATCTAGTTGGACTATCTCCCATTTTGTACCCCATGGCTAGCATGTATAAAGCTTGGCGCATAGTCCGGGCAGCTATGTAGAGTAATCTGTGAGTATATGTGATGGGAATCAATCAAAAATTTAATACACTGCAGAGATACCAAGACCCATAGGCTATGTAACCGCATGCTTCATGCAGAAATGTCGACCAGGATCTTTACATGCTTATCTCTCTCCTCGACTAGAGCTTTGAACCCCCTCTCATCCACATCCTCCATTCGGATCTTACTAGTGATCATAAGGCGAGGCTGAATACCACCTATACCAAAAAAGCAAGAGGTCAGCACAGGGCACCTACCTAATTAGGAAGTAAAGACAATAAACTGGGTAGGAGCCGAGCATACCGGAAGCAATTTCATCAATCACAGCCTCAAAGTCCCCGTCATCATAAAGAGCAGCCCCTGTGACATGCTTCTCCTGGAACACAACAGCAAAAGCATCAATAGTAGGCATCTGTTCCCACAAGGAAACGATGACCGTCGTCCCACGCACCCGAAGACCAGCGATCGCAGTATCAAGCCCAGCCTGAGCCCCGGAACACTCGAATGCAACAGCTGCACCCACATTCCCTGTCAAGGCACGTACCTGCATAACCGCATCCACATCAACAGGATTAAGGACCTCGGTGGCGCCCAGGGCCAGGGCAAATTCACATCGCTGCTCAGAGACCTCCACCGCAATAATCGAGGTAATACCTTTGACTTTCAATACCTGGATAATAGCCAGACCGATTGGTCCAGCCCCAACCACAAGTACCGTGTCATTTGTCTGCAGAGGACTGCGGCTTACGGCGTGCCATGCGACGGCAAGAGGTTCCACCAGGGCTGTATCACCACCATATCGTCAGAGCTGAAACCAGTCGAACACAACTTGAAACGGAGAAGTATATTCATACCACCGACGTCGAGGGAAATGGAGTCAGGTAGCATAATCGCATGTCTGCTGTCCACGACAATGTGGTCCGATAGACCACCTGCCTGACCTTGTGGCCGTCAATATGGAGACATGGCTACAGGCCTTAGTATGGCTTACTGCTGAACCCGATAAATCCCACTTTCTCACAGCAATTGAACCTGCCCATTGAACAGTTCGAACACGTGGCGTCGAAGAGGTTAGGCTTGACTGCAACCCGATCCCCGACCTTGAACCCTGTAACGCCTGAGCCAACCTCTTCAACTGTACCACTGAACTCATGGCCCAGGGTGGTTGGCAGCTTTCCCTCGGTTAATGGGTGTGGGGTGACAGGCACGATCGTTGGGCCAGTAAGATACTCATGGATATCTGGGTTGGATCAGAAAAGACTAGCCAACGGTGGGTTTCGAGCATGTTACTTACCGCTGCCACATATTCCGACAAAGGCAGGTCGAATCTGTTCATATCAAGGTTCGTCGTTAGAGACTCAGCCTCGGAGGTAACGTTACGAAAGCTATAAGAAGTAATGCTAAGCTTGCCTTGACCTGGCCATTACCACAAACCGGCTCTTCGACCTCATCAATGCGGATATCACCTCGTCCATGGAAGCGTACAGCTCTCATGGTGGATGGTCAACGGGTAAGTCTGTTGGAGTGTTGTAGAACGGACCGAAGAATGGAGTCTACTAATGGAAATAAAGTGAGATGATGTAATTTATTGAGAGATTATTATGTTGCACAAATATAAAGAAAGGTGATGCCATCGGTTGCGTATACCTTGTTTCTTCGGTAACCCCTCTCGACGAAACCCCGCGAACTAAGATAGTCACCGGGTGTCATTCATCTGGACCACCAGGAGAAGAGATCAATGGGAAACACCCCTGTCTATCATGGATTTGCTGGGACATGTGTAACTAACATTGATGCACATGACCTAGGGCAAGGGCCTCTCTGCAGGGGTGCCCGATGTAGAGGGACAAGTATGATGCTGCACCCAAAAATACGAATAGTGCTCATAACAAGTCCTTTTAGGCAAAATAACAAGGATAACGACGTAGACACTGATCCAAAACTGATTGAATTCGTTACTTGAGAGACCAGCTCCAATTTTCGAGTACACAACTATGTATCCTTGCTCTTGCGAGTGAGAAGACCCTTCAAAGCATCCGTTTCGCCTTCAAGCTTCGAACATCGAAGTCTCCAATCATCTCTTTCCTTCCGAACCTTCTCCAACTCGGCTTCAAGCTCCTTCATCCGGTCTACACGTCTCTGCCGACATCTCCGTGCCGCGAGGGTGTTAAGTTTACGCTTTTCCACCCGTGACGAATCAACGCGGCTTAGAGCATCATCGCCCTGGGAGGTAGAGGGGCTCGAGAGAGAAGTCGAGACGGGAGCAGGGAACGGAGAGATAGGTGAAGGATGCGAGTGGCCATCTTTTAAACGTTAGAAACTAGACCCGGTTGACTTGATTAGAGAATATGATCCTACCTGGTGAATTGGCGGAGCTAGCGGCAAGAGACGCAGAAACATAGTGTTGGTGCTCGATTGATCCGGAATCAGAAAGAGAGTTGAAAGCAGAGACAGACCCATACCCAAGATCCATGACGGGGACATCGCCACCATCATAGTCAGTAGGGTACGGCGTCGGATGGTTCACAGATACGAAATTCCAGTCTGTATCAGCAAAGGACAGATCGGGTTCTGCCCAGAGTGCCGACTCGTGCGTGAGGGTATCAAAGGATTGACAGACTGGCACAGCCGAGGGAAAGCCTTCCAACGGCGGCGCCAGCGATGAGAAGAGGTCGTTATCACTGTACGGATGAAGACTCGCCCATGGCGAATATTCAGCAGGCCCTTGATGGCGTTCCTGCGTGCCGGTGCTGGGCGGGTTGGAACCAGTGGGTGGAGGTCTGGATCGCTGCCGCGGCGCTCGAACAACAGCAGGCGGACATCGCTGGATTTCTTAGACGGGCCTTTGCAGACCCGTGACGCTCTATATGAGAATGATGAGGGGGTACCCTAGGGTAACTGTAGAATAGGGGTCGACTCTGTAGGAGTCGTGTCCTGAGGAAGAAATTGAAGGACAAGGCCAGGCCATATAAAAGAATGGGAAGACCCAGGGATGAACCGCAGCATCACATGGGCCCACAGTAAGCATCATGTGATTGGTTGTTTATTGGCTGTTCCCCCACGACTCATTATGACTCATTTTAGCGCCATTCAATTGACCAATCACAGAGATCAATTGAGATACGCTAATGCAGTTTAGGATAAGCTTAGGAGTGCTACCGTGTGTTGTACACTTCCAAGGTTGATGAGGGTTACATTTACACATCTAAGCCCCTCAGATTGGAATTATGCATAAACAGATCACCAGAAGACACGCTGGCAGTATGGAAACTGCCAAGACCCCTAATTTACTGTTGAACAGATGCCATTGAGATTCAGTGATAATTACAAGATTGGACTGCCATCGTTCTAACCTTGAAGGAGGAAGATGCCGACAAACTTCGCATATAAGCTTAGACTGACTGTGGTAGTCCATAAAGACCACTCATACCACAAGGTATCATACCAAGGTAAAGATAGATTATTGCATGATGATCAGCTCTACGGAGTACAGCCTTCAAATATGAATGATTGTGATATCTGCCAGCAATACCTTCTCTAAACACGCGTCCGCCAACATCCACCTCGGTGTTTCACAGTATGTCGTTGTCAAATCTTGCTCCATTGGATTCCAGGACAATCCCGACAATCCAAGCAGCATGTAGATTTTTTGGATACCTCCATGCAAACCCTCGGTGGTCCCTCAAGATCACGCCCGATGAGGTGGAGCTGATTTATTTCATCGTCCTGAATTATTCAGAGCTAGGACAGACCAGTACCAGCAGCTCTATAGTGTCTATTCCCACCCCTCAAAACCTTGCGTCGACCCAATTCGATTTCCCAAAGACATGGTTGACCCAGAGAAAACGAGTGCTAAGGGCAGCGCGAGTCTTTCTCATAGACGCCAAGCGAATCTTCTTCATGACAGATGGTTTTCACCATTGGAGGAGACAACTCTTCACAACATCACTACTTGATCTGCCTAACGAGCTGTTGCAGCTCATTGCAGCTCTTTTACCGACAAAGACTCTCGCTGGACTCTGTCAATTGAATCGCCATCTCTCCAACGTGATAGGCTTTGAACTCTGGAGACCACTGGACAGAGTTCTCGTGGCCTTGAAATGGAGCTTGGATCACCGTCAGCTGGTAGTTTACACAAAGGCAGTCGAAGTACTCTCGAAGATTCCTGAAAGTATGGGCAACAAGTCCACGTGGAAATTGTTTCCTGTGATAAACACCGACAATATCCATATGCTGGAATGTATGGCTTTGAAAGGCGGTTTTAGTGGGAAATTGTATCGTCAATTCCTCGTGGACACGCTGTTGTACAATGTGGAATGGTCAAACCCCAAACATCTATCTGTTGAAGAGGTCCTCAAACTAGGGGCCGATCCGAATTGTTTCAGTCATGACCCTGCCCTTTGCAGCTTGAACCTTGGGCGTATTCCAATACTGTTGATTGCTATCTGTGGTAGCCGTGATCTTTGTGTTGACATTTTCGAGCGTCTGCCTCAACATCCGTACAACACATATTTTCCAAAGCGGTCAACAGTCCATATTGTTCACCTTTTGCTCGAATATGGGGCTGATCCAAATGCCCACATATCCGACAACACGTCGCCACTTCATGTGGCAGTCTCCCCGTGCAATTTCATGCGCAAGTCAGATGTTGTGACAGAATTGATCAAATATGGCGCTAATGCAAACGCAATTGGCCCCCATGGGAAAACACCTCTTCACGTGGCCGTTGCGCAAAACCATTGTTCTGACCACCGCGTTTCCCGCAAAGACACAATCGATGCCCATCTTCAAGCTCCAGGCATTGACCTCGACCCGCGTGACGAGAATGGCCGTACGCCCTTGAGCATTGCCGCCGGCCTTAACAGTGCGGCCTCTGCTTGGTTTGTGAAAAAAATGCTTGAAAATCCCAATGTTGATATCAATTCCCAAGACCTTCATGGGAAGACGGTATTATATCATTCGGTGGAGAGCAAAAACATAAGAGTTGCCAAGCTGTTGCTGTCGCAGAGTCACATCAACCCGAATCTCAACACTAAGTACTTGCCCCTGTTTTTCGCCGTTTCGCGTCGGATGCTACCAATGGTGGAGAGTTTGCTAAGCACAAAGGCAACCGACCCAAACCGGAAGGACAGCAATGGGCGTCTCGCTTTGACATTGCCAACTTCGAAGGCTATAATAAAACTGCTTATTGAAGCTGGCGCTGAGCTGGACATTCCAGATAGCACGGGTCTGACTGCACGGGAAACGATCTTGCAGGCGGGCATCAATATTGAGCAAGTAATGCACGCAAGCAGAAAAAGAAAAAGAGAAAGGAAGAGTTAACGATATTAGCCAAATTTGTACCCTACTCATTGCTTTATTGGTTTAGGATTTGGGGTGCTGGGTGCTAGATGATTGCTGGAATCGTTTAGGTCTAATCTCTCAATTTAATTTCTCGCAATTCCAATATCTCCAGAGGAACAAGTATAAGAAGAACCATAGCTCTTTCCGTTCTCTTTATTACTACATTATGACAGAGTCTCTTTATAGAGTTCAGACAGAATCGTATTTAGTCCTTCCCTCCCGCCGACAACCTTGACAACCTTCAGAAAGCGCGGAATTCCTATCTGGCGACATGTCAAAATCAAATATCACGACTCATCCAAAACTTCCAGCAGAAGCCATTCGTCTGGCCCACCTTCTCGAAGCATTTTTCCAAACAGAAAACTCGTGGACTGGTCTTTTGCACCCTGACCAGAGAGTTTTGATTACATTTATTGCGCAGAACTATGACACGAGGTCTACTCTCGCAAAAGCAGCCACTTAATTGGGCAATAACCCTACCTGCTATCCTAGAATATGGGCACACAAGGAGCAGCGAGTGAAACAAGCGATTAAAAAAACGGTTGATATAGCCTCGCCGCTTCTCTGTTGAAAGCGATTGAGGTAGGCAATGAGGAAGTCATTAAGATGCTTGCTAAAGCTGGTGCCAACCCAGATGTTGGCTGCAGGTATTCGTGTCAAATGGAAGACTCGCGCGGTATGAGTTGAACGTCAATTGCTCCTTTGCTCCTTTGCTTCCTTGCTTCCTTACACCTTTGTTTCTTCATACATTGTAGTTGATAGGACGTGGTAAAACAATCAAAACAGAAAAAAGGAGTTTCATATTAGCTAGAAATCACCTGCTATTGTAAAAGTGGGAGCTAAACTTCCTCTGACCAGCAGATCCGAATCCCTCCAGGGCTACAAGGAGGGGATTTATTTATATTGAATCAAAGCTGCAGCTTTGTAGCACAGTTTCTGGTCAATGTTATGTATGGCAGGGGATCTGATGGCAATTTGCCTGTGCTCTTGATTCGATTTGTCGACAGAGACCTGGATGTAGACATTGAAACTGCCGTACAACGATTCCTTTACTTCATTAAGCTTGGGGGTCTTTGTTCAACATAAGCCAAGGTGATATAGAATAGGAGCAACTGCTGAAGATGGATACAAATGGACCTCATCTTTCCGCTATTGAGGATAGTCCCGTTCAAGGAGCTTATCTTCCTTTTCTTAGAAACTAACTTTGACGTTGCAGTCTTCCAACGGTAGGAGATGGTCGTATATTGGGATTTCATGATCAAGAAGACCTTGGTTTAACACAGACAATGAGACATCAAGGTCGAATTCTCTAGCAACAGGCCTGAGGTCTTGCCTACTGTGGCCGGCGCTGGCAGCTGCTGAGTCAGCGAACGCAGCACGGCCAGGGAAAAAAAAAGCATCCAAAGGCGGTTGCTTGACTGTGAATTGATATTAATTTTAAGCAGTTAATTCTCACCAGATCCCTATAAAAAAGGGATCGTCGTCAAGCTGAATTCTCTCAGGTCGACCCTATTGCGGGCCCGACTGACAACCCCGCGGGTCCAATCGTTGACACAGATCCGTGCCCCTCCTCGATTTTCTCTTCTTCCACTCCCAACCCCTCCACGAACGTACACCATGGCGACGGCAGCAGCTCCTGAGACCTCTCTCCTCTCCCTTCTCTACCGGTCGTATCCCGGCGTAGTCTCGTCCGATTCGACCGAGCCCGACTACCTCCACGCCTCCGCCAAGATCTTCCCTCAGGTCACCTTCAATGAGGCAGAGGAAGCCGACATCAAGCAATGGCTCCACACCGTCTCCGGCCTGAAGACTTCTCTCGCCAATGATCAAAAGGATGTCACCGTTGGAATCCTCGACCAGCTGAACATCCACCTCACCACCCGCACTACCCTCCTCGGCGCGAAGCCTTCGGTCGCTGACATTGCCATCTACGCTCTCCTGGCCCCCGTTGTTGAGAAATGGACCCCCGAAGAGCGCACTGGAGAAAAGGGCTACCACCACATCGTGCGTCACGTCGACTTCGTGCAGAACGGCCGTCTGTTCTCGCTCCAGATCCCCGATGAGGAGAAGATCGCCATTGATGTGAACGACGTCAAGTTCGTGCCCAAGCCCGTCGACCCCAAGGAGGAGAAAGAGCGCAAGAAGCGCGAGAAAGCCAGCGCCCAGAACCCAGACGCCAACACCGAGTCCAAGCCCCTCGTCATCGGCCAAGGCAAGGCTGAACAAGCCGCCAACGCCCAGACCCAGGCCGGCGCCGACGGCGCCCCCGTGAAAACCAACAAGAAGGAAAAGAAGGAGAAGAAAGAGAAGGCTCCCAAGCCCGCTCCTGCCCCCGCTGCGGCCCCGGCCCCATCACTGATTGACCTGCGCGTCGGACACATCCTGCGCGCGATCAACCACCCGAACGCGGACTCGCTGTACGTGTCCACGATCGACTGCGGCGACGCCCCGGGCACCGACAATACCTCTCTCGACGAGGAGACCGGCAAGACCGTGCGGACTGTGTGCTCCGGATTGAACGGACTGATCCCGCTGGAGGAAATGCAGGGCCGCAAGATCGTTGCAGTTTGCAACCTGAAGCCTGTGACCATGCGCGGCGTCAAGTCCTGTGCGATGGTTCTCGCTGCGTCCCCGCGTGTTGCGGAGGGTGAGGACTCACACGCCGGTCCTGTCGAGCTCGTTAACCCGCCTGCTGATGCTCCTGCCGGTGAGCGGATTAGCTTCGAGGGCTGGAATGATGGTCAGCCTGAGAAGCAGCTTAACCCCAAGAAGAAGGTATGGGAGACTTTCCAGCCGGGTTTCACTACCACTGCGGACCGTGAGGTTGCCTTTGATAGCAGTGCTGTTCCCACTGTCCATGGGCAGGAGGGTAAGCCTGCTCTCGGAAAGCTGGTTGCTGCCTCTGGTGGTATTTGTACTGTTAAGAGCTTGACCAATGCTACTGTGCGGTAAGAGATGTGAAGGTGTTCGGTATATCTGAAAATAAAACTAAACGCATACCCATGAGAATATGAAGAAATCAAAATTTCCAAGTTCCGTATTATTATTGTGCATTTTAATAAAATTTCTTCCTCTCCGCATTGCTGTCAACACATGAGAAAGTGGTAATATGGGTTTGATTTTTCTAATCTGTACATTGTCACACAACTCGAGGAGCTGATAGATCTTAGCCTCTTTTGCTTAAGCAGGCGCCGCGAATCCCAAAGAAGGCCCACGTTGGTCAAAGACCACGAACAAAGCCTTCAAGAACACATCGCCATAGATCGCCATGCTTGAGCTTCCGCTTGACTGAAGGCCACCATAGCACACTATCGAGAAAAAAGGTTAACTCGGAACTCATACCCCAAAGAAGCTTGAACGGGGGGGGGGAAAAACTCACCTGTTTCACCAGTAGTCGTGTTGGTTCCAACCTCGGACCAATTCATGAACGATCCAGGGATGGTAACCGAATGACCAGACCCAATCGCAACGGATAGGGGGGGCAAGCTCGAAGTACACGGGAAGATATACCCGTTGGCATTCTTGGCGTATAAACCACCATCGACTTGCTTATAATAGGCTTCCGCAACCTCAGGGCTAACCATCATGAGCGAGGTGCCAGTGTCGGCAATGGCCTGGGGTGCCTGGGTGATCGGGTGAAAGGGGCCTTCTCCTATGGCGTATTGTGCCGACTCGAACTCCCAAAATCCATTGGATGAATCCACGCTGACGTTGGCCATGATACCTCGATACTTTTTCGGATCAACGGTTCCAAATTCATACTCACCGACGCCGTTGCTGAGCAGTCGAACGGTGAAGACTGGCTCGTCGAGGTTGGGGGCGACATTGTCGAAGAACGTATTCTGTCGCTCTGGTGTGACAGTGTTGATTGAAGAAAAGCCAAGACCAACGAGTCCGTTAGACTTGGTATCATCGGCGAATGTTTGCGAAATATCCGTCGGAAGGCCGAATGATTGCCCGGCAACTTTGACACCGCCAATCGAGACAACGTCCTTGCCTACTCCTCCATTGGCATAGGACGAGTCACCGTACTGGATCTTGAATGTGCTGTCCTTGAGTTCTTCAAAGGTGGTGGATTTGCTCGGTTCATACACCGTTCGGCTGTTTCGTAGTGACTTTGGAAGTCTCGAGCTCAACACCCACCTATATGGGAATTGGTTAGTTCGGAATATTCATTTCGTGAGATGGAACATGGAAAGCTATTGAAAGCCAATTTTCCAAAAGGAAAACGAAACACAAAACTTACATATCAGCAGAGCCACTATCAAAATTCATATCGAGAGTTTGGCCTCCAATATTGACCGGCGAGACAAATTCCACGTCTCCATCAACAGAAGTGGCATCCACGGCGCCCGTCTGTTCGGAATCCACCACATCTTCCTTTGCAATTTTCACAGAGGAGGTATGCTTGGTTTGGAAAGGCTGGAAGTCGCTCACGTCCACCCCATCGAGGGTAGCTGCATCAATTCCGAACTTGCGGTACGCTTTGCGTAGTGCCGCGGGTCCGTGGGCAACATATTCATTGCGCTTGACTCTCTCCACCTTGAAGGACCGGCCTTGAAGGTGATTTGGAGGAGCCACAGGCATGGAAAGAGCATTGAAGCTGAACGAAAAGAAGACAGCGAGAAAAAGAGTGAATTGCATCTTGCCCAAAGCCCCAACTGGGGATATCAAAATCGAAAAAAAGAGTGATTAGATCAGGGCCAGCCTGAGGATTTGATATTAAAGAATGCAACGGACAAGAAACACAAGGATGAAAGACAAGACAAGAAATGGAGAATTTTCGGCAGCTCCCCAGATCTGTAAGGGCAGGCTTGTTCTGAATGAATGGAAAGACAATGCCAATGTCTCAAAATGAACGTCAGCAGGCAGTAGTCCCGACTCGAATACCTGCAGCCAAGAATGGAAAAGAAAGAAAAGAGAATAATACAATGTAGAACAATGTGGACAATGCAGAAGAGAAGACAAGAAAAGAAAAGAAACAAAGAAACCGGAAACAACAGTTGAAAAACAAGAACAATATCAACAAAAACAAGACGAGACAAAGTGAAACTTCATAGGAGGGAACAACCCTAAAGGCAAGAACGACCCGAAGCCAGTACGTATATAGGCATTGTAGTGCAAGCGTTTGTTTCTGAGCACTTGGCATTCCACATGCACCTATCGGAGGCAAGCGCTGCACTACAAAGCCCTTGGCCCAAGCTGGGCATGCTTCACAGTAGACGCCATCAGTTCAAGACCAGAACGACGTATACTCTGTGGGCCCGGGGATATGTCAGGTCTAGGTAAGGGGCTCGGGAGTAGCGCCGGATAGGATAGTACGGAGTACGGAGTACGTAGATGATATCTATATACGGAGCACCCTGCTACTCCGTAATTTGTCTGTTACGCGACGTCTTAGATAAGTGGGGGGATTTTCCTGGGCGCGTGGGCTTGATACCTGAGACCTTAAGGCCTGTTGGTGCTAGGATGTCGGTGGTTTGATCCTGAAACAAGGACCAGCGGGTAGGGACCCAATCATGCAGGCTGTACGATATACTTGAAACATATTGGAGAGGTTATAGAGATCTCCTATTGTGACATGTAAAGTGTGGCTTGCTTTTTTATTCGCGTTAGCTTTTCTTTGGTTGCCTATTCGAACAATGGCATTGCGTTGTGGCCATGGAACAATGGCTGGCATCTTCGCCTCATATTGATCTTCGGCCGATCAAACTGTTGAGTGTGACCAATGTTAATTAGAGATCTGATCATACCTTTTGTGTAATTAGTTTTATAGTTTCAGGGACGTAAGCTTGTAAGCAAAATCTCCATATGTATTTCTCTAAAGCGAGGCATTAGTCTAGTCCACTATATATTCCTACATATCTTCCAAACACCAATTATAATATTATCTATAAATTTTTTAATCGGATCTGTGAAGAAAAGGCAAAGCAAATGTGAAACCTTAACCTCTGGCCTTGGAATACTATCCCCAAACCAGGACGATATCAATGAGTGGACGCTACGTGTGCGGTGATGGGCTGTGTTTGGCATTGGAATGGCTCGAAGCAGAAGGGTTGGAACGCATCTATATGCCCAGCAGCCAAGAAGCAAGTACATTGCTTCGTACAAACGATCTACAACACCCTAGTCTCGCCAGAGTACCTAGATGATACGAACAAGAGATGTGATGAACTTGATGGTAAGCAAAAATCAATATAAATCGATATAAATCGACATCATACAATGTCATGACTCCCCGGGAGTTCCCCAAAGGGTAATAAAAGAAATACAAAACCAAGAGAAAAGATGAAAGGAGAGTAAAAATGAAAGCATTTTAATGAAAGCATTTTAAGTGCATAATGGTCTAGACTCGCACACCGCGAGAGACCCCCAAGGATATCGATTTCAAACAGAAACAACTCCGCATCCCATGGTTTCGCTACCAGACCCAACCAACCACATACCAGTGGTAAGGAAGCGTTGTTCACCAATCCCCAAATTCCATGTACAGAGAAAACAATCCGTAAAAGATGAGACAAGTAGAAGGCAACAAAGCAATAAAAAACAACCCAAGATATTCAACAGTGCCCAAGCAATGCAGACGTGTATCGTTTCCGCCTCTAGATTCTTGAAAATGATAGCCATTCCCGCCCCGGTAACAAAAAACCCAAACAAAGAGATCGTAGAAAAGAAAATAAAAAAGTGCCACAGTGTAGGTGTATCTGGCAAAGTCGTTTGCACGCAAAACCCTCCCAGAAAAAAAGGTAAAATCAACTCCAAAGGTCATGAGCATGCAACGTCAAGTAGCAATGTCACTGCACGTGTGTTCTGTACATCATCGGTGGCCCGACCGGAAAAAAAGAAACATAGGCCGAAGAAAGTATTCGTCCCTCCCTGAGAGACGAAAGAGGTATCGTAGGAAAAGGATGTAAGGTATTGAATCGCAGGCGCCGTCGCTCGCAACAAGCTAAGAGTATCGCAAAGGATCTAGAATATGAGGCGAAGGTGGTCGTAATCGGCGAAGAGGAGAGTGTATGTACAGGTCGGTTTTTTGTTTTCGAATTTTTGATGATTTTTTTGGTCGCCGTGTTCGTGGAACAGATATTTTTCCAGGTTGTGTGTCGTGTCGAATGCAATAGACGTATCGAACAAGAATGCAAGTGGAGAAAAAAAAACATTATGACCTGCGATTAAGGGACCCCGATGATGCAGAACAGCTTAAATAACGGACGTGCAATGGACGAATGGAGATGTAGGTGCCAGCCTACGACTTTGGCATATGGCACCCTTACCATCGACGCTGAGCAGTCTGCATCATCGCGGGCGAGATCGATGAAGGCGGGCTTGACAGGGTCATTCCGGTCGAAGGGTTGATAATCGGAATGACCTTGCGGGTCCGGTTCGCAGGCTGCTGCTGTTGCTGGTAGTTGACATGATTAGGGTTGCCGGCAACACCAGAGTGAACGTATGAGTTGGTTTGAGCGGGGGATAAAGAGATGGACGGGGTCACCTGCTGCACCGGTTGGATTTGGTGCTGCAGAGGCGAGGTGTCCGGTGAGCCGCTTGAGAGAGAAGAGCGGTCGGAAGCAGAGTGGATGGAGTGCAGCTACAAATAAAACATGTCAACAAAATTGCCCCCCTAATGGTTTATCCGAATTGAGATTTGTGGCGATCCTCAAGGGGGTGACGGATAAGGGGGTTTGAAATTTCACCAACACAACATACATCATCCTCAGTCAGGAGACCCGGACAGAACTCGAGGTCGTCATCCAGATCAAAGGACCGGCCAGCCTCGAATCTTGCACGGAAGGCTGTCACAGCCGGAGCTTCCGCCAATTCCCGCATACTCTTGACTCCTCGGAACTGACGCTGAGCATTCTGCGAGGCCATCTTTGGGGCACGACGAGAGCGCCCGTGGTGGGTATTTGAAGCAGACTGCATGTGAGCACCATGGTGAGGGTGTTGCTGGTGTTGCTGGTGTTGGTTATAGAAGTAGGCAGACATTGTGTGAGAAGCCCGAAAGTGAGACGAGAGAAGATAAGAAGAAAGTTACAAGACAAAAAATATAGAAAATATAGGAAAGATCGATGAGATTGAAAGAGGAAAGGAGGATTAATGAGAATGAGAGTGTGTGGGAAGAGGCGAAAGGAAAAAGAGGGGAGGGGTGTGTTATGGGGACAGATGGTATGGATACTGTCATTACCAATTATTACCAATTATTACTATTTAAGGGAGTTGCTTGAGTGTCTGCTAGGGATAATTACAGTTCTGTACTGTCAGGGATGAAAAGGCACTTACATCGACGCACCAACCAGACCAAAGCGCTAACAGAGTGGCAATAGCCTCAAAGCCAATAATAACTCGCAGATCCTCTCAAAATGGACCTTCAACGGCCCACCAAAATACCAAAAACGTGACGTCGTCGACAATTGGACCGTTACCTAATTAGGAAGATCTCTTTCTTAGTGATGACCGCTACTGTTACATACCAAGGGCATCTGGAGAACTTTAGATAGGATTGCCCTAGGACAATGATGATTGTTACATAGTGCGCACATTTTATTGTATCTAGATCCGAAATTGCCGAAATTGCCGACCTTTACAATATAGTTATAAATGATGTATCATCGACCAAACATGGCAGTGAAGTTGTCCGGAAAAGTAAATCCCCATACTCCGTTCCTCAACGGGAGTGGTTGGGGAAGCTGAAATTTTTCTCAGCCCTTCGGGTCCCCTTAGCTGCAGGCTGTGCAGGACCATGGCTTTTGCCTTCCCAGGCACATTCCCCTCCATTCCCCCTATGGGGTGCCCCAATCGGCAGCTGCTGATCTTGCTTCGATCGGCTCCCCCTATGAATTCCCCAATCCTTCGACACGCAGCGCAAAGACCCGAAAAAAAAAACCTTGTTGGTCTCGAGACACACCCACAGCACTAGCTGCAGATAAACCCGCCTATTATTGGCAGGGGACCTTGAGATCCTACCTTATCAGCTCACACCCTTCCAAATCGGAGCTCATCAATGCGGAATCCGGACGCTTTTCGCATTTTCGGGTAGCATTGCCTACCCGTGACTCACTACATATCCATGCGATCGAATAAAAACCAAGTAAGAGTTCCCACTATTCAACGTGTGGTATATTTTAGGTCTGGGAGCTGTTTCTGTATATTTTATTTATTTTCGTTTGTCCCTGATTGGGATATGCCCTGGACCTAGAAATGCTCTCTCGGCGCCTACTGGAACATAAACCCTGTTAGAAGGTGCCGACCTTCCACCAGTGATAACTTCCATTCTATTACACGGTGCCGAAAAGGATCAAGCCTAAACTCTACTAGAGACAACGTATCACCGTAAGCTGTCTCCAGTTTTCGGCTTCACCGCCCCTTTGGCCATTTGGAACAGAATCTCACGAGGCGCAGTCGCACGCACCTACCGAGATCGGATATATCACATATTGTACCCCGTAAACGTTGCCCATAAGCTTGAATTATGCAGCTGATATATCCAGCGCCTATGCAGGGTGCATGATTTGGTGTCTGCGTGAGATCGCGGGGTCTAAATGCATGAAATATGTAATTCAGTGAGGGACTATTATACTGCGACCCGATCCCCAGATACACCGCGCAAGGGACTTGCAAACATAATCTTCAAGGATTCTAGTGGCCCTGGTTGAATTTCAAATATGTAATATCTATTACATCGTGGCAAATGTTTCTATGCTCCGAGTCGGAATCTGGTTTCAGACTATGGGCGATATTGAAATCGCGATTTGCGGAGTCGAGGCCATCCTTGTTGCACAGCATGACAGCATGACAGCAAGACAAACAGATAAGTCTAGATTCTTACATCCTTTAAACAAGTTTGGTTGCGTTCATCTTTATTACACTTGAGGAATTCCTGCATACGAAGTAGTGCCGTTTATCAACTGGAATCAAGGTCTGGAGGTCCATGCTTAGGTCACACAGATACTACACCTAGTTATTTACAGAGAATCAAAGCTAGCAGCTGATATTTGGAATGCAGGCCTTTGAATGGCCTCATTTTTTTGCCTTGAAATTTCAACTTGTCTCTATCACCGAGCAACCGCTTCCCTTGCCTAATCTTGACTACAGTACGGAGTGGGCCATGCGCAGGTGCCATTCTACTCTGGGGCAACGGTATGCCCGTTTTCTTTCTATTTCCTACAGTAGCGCCACATAAGATAAATACATACATAAATATGTAATTATAGCAGCCTATGAACATTGAGAAACAAAAAGACTACATGTATGTATCCAATGAACAGAGGTCATAACGCGCTGGACGACTATGTGATCGCAGACGCGAATATATGTACTAATTCACATTCCAACACCAATCCACTATAATTGTACGATACGCCGCACTAGCAACAATCATCGAACGGTACAACTCCCATGGATTGGGATGGCGCGACTTCTCCACCGGCGAGTATAACCCCCCCTCCATTTTCTCTTCTTCACACTCTTCCTCTTCCGACAGTATAGCGTATTCAATAACTCTAATGTTATCTTGAATTGTAGCATCTATCTCAAATTCAATTGACACTGACAGCTTCCTCGACCGGACTGGCAACCGGGCGATGCAATCCGATGGGCGTCGGCAGTGTCATTCTCCGTGGCCTTTCTTCGTACAGTTCTACATGCCAAGAGTTTTACAAAAGATGTACAGTGGAGATGCATGCCGTCTCAAAAGCTCCCAGCCGAGATTTGCCTTTCCTGTAGGGCCGGGTGACAGGTTGGTAACGAGCAAATGGCGCATGGGGACAATTGAGTGACTGAACGAGATTCGATTTACCACACGAAATCAAGACGGTAAGCCGGTTGTGAGTAACGGAAGGGCCCTTTTAGTTCCCCAGCGTGCATCGCATCTTTAGATTAGTTCTGATAGGTTGAATAGTGGATAGCCGGCAGTGTCGAAGTAGTAGTGCCCGACTTCTCCTCAGTTCAACCTCCACAAAGTAGTACAATGTAGGACAATCGGTTTGAATAACCTGTGGTAGACAGACACAAAAGACTCAATTGAGCTTCTCATTGTTTGTTGTTCAACCCTTCCAAAGTGGGTTGCCCATTTCCTTGCATTCCCCCAGTTCTCTTATCTTTCATACACGCTTGTTGTTGGAACACCATGGCGTTGCAATCTTCGGAAAAAGGCAAATACCCCTGGAAAACCCCAAAGAAATATGCTAGTCATGGGTGCAGGCCCAGTTGGGCTTGCTATCGCCTTGAGACTTGCGCTAGCTGGTATCGTGGTCGACGTGGCAGAGGAGGAGTCGAGGCTAGGTGAGGAACCTCGTGCTGTGGCTTATTACGCGAGCGACCTGATTGCCTTGGATAAGATGGCGGTGATACCGGATATGGAGAAGGCAGGGTTTGTTTCTGAGGGGTTTTGCTGGCGTAAGCCAATCCATGACGATGGGCAGGGAGGTTATCTGATGGGTGACGCGATTGCTCGTTTGCCTATTCCTCAGGATACTACAAAAGAGTCCCATGGTGTTGGTGGCAACTTGTATCTGCCACAGCCAGAGCTTACCAAGTTTTTATTCGAGAAAGCAACCGCAACTGGCTTGTTCACTTTGCATTTCGAAGAGACCCTCGTCAGAATCAAGCAAAATGCTTTAGGCATCAGAGCCACGTCCAGGAGAGATGACATCGAAACAACATTCCAAGCATCCTATCTAGTGAGTGCTGATGGCGGCCAGTCCGCTACCAGGGGGCTTTTGGATATTCCTCTGAGAGGGTACAGCTGGCCAGAGAAACTGATATCCATCGATTTGCTATTCGAGGATTCAAATCTCGACACAAAGTTCCCAAGCCAGTTCATTGTACACCCGATATCCTGTGGCTTTGTCACTCCATTAAAACCCGTCGAGACTGGAAAGCGGACCCTATACCGGTGTGCTGTTAGCTTGGACCCAGAAGACCAGACGCCCGTTGATGAAATGAATTCTATCACTCATGTCACGTCCCTTCTGGAGAAAACGCTTCCTGGCCCCAGGCCAATCAACGCAAAAATAATCAAGACTTCTCTCTATCGGATCCATCAATTGTGCGCTTCTACTTTCAGAAGGGGAAGATGTGTGCTTGCGGGAGACGCAGCTCATCTTAACGACGTTAGTTCTTCATCCCATTTATGATATACCTTTGATACTTACTTCATTACTACTAGCCCATGGGTGGTATGGGACTTTCAACAGACTTGATTGACTCCGAAGCCCTATGCGACATCCTCGAGATGATTATTCTTGAAGGTAAGTCGTCTGACCTGCTAGACTTATATGCAAAAAGAGAGCAAAGGCATTTCAGATGTATGTTGACCCTCAAAGTACTCAGAATAAACCTCGAGCCCAAAGTGACCCTGAATTCGCCCACGAGAATTGGTTGTTCCGGGAGCTGAACAGCGCATCTCCCAAGTTTTTGAAACAGTTTGGATTGCCTTTTTTTCCAGCAGTGGAGGGTGGATATGAAGGAGGTAATCTCGCAGATATCGTAGTGTTCTTTATTCTTCGCAAGTTTGTTCATTGTCACACATCGCAACGCTTGTCTTCAGCCTGCAAGCTGATTCCCGCTATAATAATTACCGTCGATGACTTTTTGACCTGGAACCTTCCAATGTAATTAGCAGCCATACCTTGCTAGCTAGATAGGGCGTAAAAAGTGTCCACAAAAGGGGGAAAAAAACCCTGTCAAAACTAGATTAGGCATGCATGGATCAGCTGCCTATCTTCAATATTGAGATACCGGTATATAAAGGTTATTTTAAAGTACAAGATGCGGGACGGCATCACTTGTCCAAGTTCTTGCTCTTCACCATCCTCCCAAGCAACTCCTTGCAGTTCTTCTCGCTATATTGCTCCCAGACCTCATATAATGAGACCAGCTCTTGTGTACATTCGATGACAGCTTTGATATCGACTTCGCTTTCCGCAAGCCAGCCAACAAGCTTCTGAATTTTAGGAGGAGGACCGGATCCAGTTTTATCTGATAAAGCGGCCAGCATCTGCATGCCGCCTCCATCTCTCATAGAGCCTGCCAAAGCCGATTGCCCGGTTCCAGGGTAGGTGGATGGGTGAGTGGGCTTGAATACAACGGCGACGATGATTGCCATGATCGCAATGACATGAGGTGGGTGTAGAAGTGGTAGATCTGTCAGATAATGATCATTGATAACCGACCAAGCGAGAGCGACTTCATCCGAGGTGAGTGATAGTTCGGTTTGAAGTTCGGACAAAGTTCGATAAGGATGATGCACGATGAGTTGCGAGCTCATTTCAGATATTAAGGCAAACTCGCATTCTCCGAGCTTTGCCACATCCGGGGTAATAAATTCTGTGAATAGTTAGCAATTGGTTTGTTTATGGCTTTATATACGGGTGCATACCTGGCCACAGACCGCGCGCTTCGCCGACGACAAAGCGGATATGCTGTGGACACTCTTCCATCTTACATGCGAGATAGAAGGCTGTAGTGAGCACAAGGTATGGACTTGTCTGTCGAATCTCATTTTTGGTATAGAACCTCTTGAGATACACCTGTGCTGTTGCAATGGCCTGCTGTCTGGTGGACATGCGTTTGCCGAGCTTGATAAGCTCTTATGATTTGAATTAGCCTGAAATGACATTTAAAACAATGAACATATTAACAAAACCTACGTTGGTTAAAGTAGATATTCAGTAGTCGCTGATCTGGCAGCGGGAACTGCGAATGGGCAACTTTATCCTTCTCCCGTAATCCTTCACGGATATCTGCCAACTTCTCTCTGGAGAATAGCCAGTGTCGACGCTGGGTTGATGCCCAGTAGTTGGCTGCCATATTGAAAGTTCAATGTTTGATGATGCAAAGCTCATAAATCGAAAGCCGTCACGACATGGTCCGAAGTCCCCCGGGGGGGGGGGGGGCCTTATACAGCTGACCCCGCAGGTCGCGTATTAAATTGAAATGAGATGATGCAGAACCAACCCCAATAGAAGAAAACAAAACAACACAACACAAAACAAAACAAAACAAAACAATCATATAAGAATCAACTCATTTAATATGAGGTCAGGTTGTAATCCCAAAAAGGGATAGTAGGGCTTGGCCCTGATCCCGTGCAAGATAATCCGATGGCGGCGTCAAAGCCCTTGGGTCGAATGGCCGGGCGCCTATTAATCAGGGCATTTATCCATTCATACCTAGGTATTCACCTGGGCATAACTTTTCACCTCACGTCATCCTTTTATGTTCCCCTCGATCTTCTTCCCCTCAACTTCTAGGGGTCTTGGGTTACCCCTTATAACAAAGCAAAGAAAATAATGGTTGCTCGGTAACAATTTTCCATCATGGCATCCGAAGAGTCAAAAGATGAACGCGACAAACGAGTCGCCAAACTCTGGGAAATCTTGGATACTCGAAGAGAGGGCCATATCGACTTGACTGGGTTAAAGAAGGGGTTAAAGAAAATCGATCATCGTGAGTTTGACCGGGTTCCTTGCTATATACCTGCGCGCTTGCCTAATCTCTTTCTAGCTCTAAAAAATGCAGACGATATGGTACTCAGTGTCATGCGGGAGGTGGACACGAATCACGATGGACGTATTGACCAAGCCGGTAAGCTCACGAGAACCACCTAGGCATTACTCGGGGAAGGGATGCCCTGGCCAATATTTGGTCCAATCCTAATCACCACCAGAATTCCGAGCATTTCTCAACCACACCGAGGACGGGCTATGGAAGATGTTCCAGAGCATTGATCGAGACCAAAACGGTGAAATTGACAAGGTGGAATTGCGGAATGCCTTTTCACGTTCCGGAGTCACGGTCTCGAACGCAAAGTTGGACAGGTTTTTCGCCGAGGTCGACAAAAACCATGACGGGGTGATCTCTTACACAGAGTGGAGGTACATGCATTCTCACTGCTCCAGTGAATGCTGAACAGCCTAGGCTAACATACATAATCTTTTCTTTAGGGATTTCCTTCTATTCCTCCCTCTCCAGTCCCCGACCGACCTCTACGCAGTCCTTTCATACTACACGGCTACGGGCAATCTAAACCCGGAAGGAGATGTCAACATCAATGACCTGCAGGGTTTAGGTACAAACCATCCGTTTCTTTCACCTTACATTCTGACCATCCAACACTTTTTGTACAACATTTTGTCCCTCCCCGACTTGGCCTCCCTCCTTCCTTCAGCACACGCGCAAACCAGCCATATCTCGAAGTTGGAACCCGTTTTCGAGCATGATTTTGTCTCGCTAGACGGCGACTTGGAGTTGGAGTGGTTGCCTCTTCCCCAGACTACCGCCATGCGGATGTTTTTCCGATATTATGGACGGAAGTTGACCGAAAATACCCCTCAACTAGGCTACTTCCTCGCAGGTGGAATTGCGGGTGCCGTGTCAAGGACGGCCACCGCCCCCCTCGATCGTCTCAAAGTTTATCTCATTGCACAGACTAGCGTCAAATCAACGGTTCGGGCGGCGAAGGCCGGAGCTCCGTTGGCTGCGGCGGGGAACGCTTCCAAAACATTGTTCGATGCGCTCAAGGAATTGTGGCGGGCTGGAGGAATACGGAGTCTATTCGCAGGTTCGTCGTACTTGTCGATCTGGACTTAAAGCAGCAACGACTAACTATAAGCAGGGAACGGCTTGAACGTGGTGAAGGTTATGCCAGAGTCTGCGATCAAGTTTGGTGCCTACGAGGTTTGTACTCTTGATATTCGGTTTCGCCTACACAACTAGACGAATGCTGACCCGAGAGCAGTCTGCGAAACGAGCATTTGCACAACTCGAAGGACACAATGATCCCAAGCGACTCCTTCCCACTTCACAGTTTATGTCCGGTGGCTTTGGTGGAATGGTTGCCCAGTAGGTCTTGTGCGTCATTGATGAGAGGAAAATTGGTTCTGATTGTGACTAGATGTTTTGTTTACCCCCTCGATACACTAAAATTGTGAGTACATCGACCCAAGTGAGTTGTTAGAGCATTGTGGCTTACAATTCTCAATAGTCGCATGCAGTGTGAAACCGTGAAAGATGGCCCGAAAGGCAATCAACTCATCGCAGCTACTGCAAGAAAGGTGTGGAACAAGAATGGCTTGGCTGGCTTCTTCCGAGGACTCCCGCTTGGCCTTGTGGGCATGTTCCCCTACGCCGCAATCGATCTATCGACATTTGAATACCTCAAACGGTCGCTTCTAGCTAAAAAGGCTCGTGACTGTGGTTGTCATGAGGATGACGTACCCCTCGGCAACTTTGCGACAGGTGCAATTGGTGCGATGAGTGGAGGATTCAGCGCCTCGATTGTCTATCCCCTCAATGTTCTCCGAACTCGACTTCAAACCCAGGGCACGATCATGCATCCGCCCACATACACAGGGATTGGCGAGGTCTTAAGCATCACACTCAAAACCGAGGGACCCCGTGGTCTTTACAAAGGTCTCACACCTAACCTCCTCAAAGTGGCACCGGCCATGTCAATCAGCTACGTGGTCTACGAGAACGCGAAACGCATACTTGGCCTACGATGATCTGCCAGTCCGAAGAAGCCCTCACGTCCTCTTCCTCCTTGCATACCCCCGCGGACACCACTCAGGTATTTGAGCGCATTTTCGACCTTCGCCCTGGCACATCCATTCCGGTGCCTTCGGGTCGATATTTGCTATTTACTAGCTTGACATTTAGAAGCATTGTCCCCAAGATACCCACAAAAGCCATTGACAGGCATGGCACACCCCCTCGCTCATGGGTGCATCTCAAATGCACCCCATTCTCATTTTTGATATCCTTGCCATATCACCGAGAGGTCACATATTTGGCTTTTTTTGCATTAACGTTTGGTTGATATCAACAAGGCTTCACTGTAATTTTTTACTTGCTTTCTATTGCTCATGTTGCGCTCACTTGAGACAACTGTACTTTTGACCAACCTTTGATAGAGGGCACTGGGAAACTCACCATCAACCACATCAGCATGGCAAGGCGTCGATACAATACCACGGGACTTTTTGATTTCCATTTTGTTTATTATTACAAGAAAATCTACACGTTTGGATAATACATATTTTGAAACATCTCTTGAATACCATTGCTCTTGAATTGCCCAGTTCGCAAGTCGCAAACAGGAGTAATCACTAAATCACCTTATTCAACCACCTGCACAGCCTTAACCTCCTCATCCTGAGGAAGGATATCCGGTACAGGTCCCAGAGGAGTAATAGCAAACTGATTAATCTGCTTGTGACTCTTAGTATAATGGAACTTGATGTGTTCAAAGTCGGTGGTATCCCGGAAAGCAGGGACATCCCAATACAGCCTGCGCACCCAGCGGTGAATAGCCGGGAATCCAGAGCGGATATCA